TCCCATGTTTCCTCTCATTGTCGCAGCTCGTATCTTCATCGATGGCCACATCAAATTTTTTGCGGCTGGTAGCTATGATTCGAGCCCATCCGCCATCGTCGGTCTTGCTGGGACGGCGGGTAGATGGGCTCACGACCACCAAGGGATTTGCCGAGAGCGGGGTACCAAACCATATAGTGGTTGGTCCATTGCCGATGGACGTTCTGGCGCGAAATTTTCCAAGGCGACAAGTCTGCGGGACATTATGGGACATGTGCTGACAGGGGTTGTCCAGGCCCTTTTGCCAACTTGTGGCTCCTCTAAAATAATTTCAAAAGTCTAGGAAGTCATCGGCCCTCAGCCTCTGCATGTTTTTCGGTTTAGCTTATGTTGCAGCCATAGTGCATGCTTGTCCACAAGTGTTGTGGAAATCACTGCAGTTGCTGAATGCTGTGTGGGTAGTGCGCAGGATGTGAAAATTATTGCGGGCGCGTGCATAAGGACTCTATCCTTTCGAAGATGAGTCCTTTGCAACAGCATTGTTCCTTTATGCGATTGCTTTGCTTTTAGTAAAGCCTTCATTTGTTGAACAAATTGTTCTTTCACAGAAAAACATGAACAATTGCAAACATCTTGCTTCTACAGAACAAATGTAGATCTTTTCATGCCTCGTGTGAGACAATTTTTTGGTCTGCATTTTTAACAACAAACGCGCGCATGTTTCAATCCAATTTCCAAATACCTGCTTGCCTTCAGGGACTTTTCAAGTTGAATCCGCTTGCACAGGTGTGCCCAGGATGCCGTTTCTTCACATTTGTAGAAGATCAAGTCGTGACAACATTGTTGTCTTGATGGGGGTTCCCCTTACCAAGGAAGTCGGTGAGAAAAAAAGATTGTTGCTGTCCCCCTAGGTATGGTTTGACAACATATCTTGACGCAAAATCCTACGAACCGCCCACAAAGAAGAACCAAAGATGCTTAAGCAAAAATGAAAGAACTCACAAGCGCGATGGAGCGCCCTGTTTTGCTTGCTTGCTGCTTGAGCCAAAGTCCTGTGATCCTTGAATGACGACATGGGCGACTCTGTGTGTCTGTCACCCTGCCATCATTTCCATGAACTCAGCAATGTGGCCTTACTCGATCAAATTCCTTTCCGGTGTCTTGAACACCATTCTTGAAAATCTGAAATCAGCTGCCGCATAGCCAAGGCTTTCGCTTCCCCTTGGCCTTGCCGCCGCTCTCTTGTTCATCGTAATTCTCTTCTTGGCTCTCCATTGCCTTTGGCATGCGGCCCTGTGTTCTCAGACCGTTAGCCTTTGCCTGTCCCTCTTTCATCTGCACTCTCTTGCTTTCCACCTTCTTTCGACTTCTACAACCTCATAAACCTCATAGTCTTCGAAGCTTTCATCTTCACCGCCTCCGTCTCTCGCAGTTCGATCATTGGGCCCTCTGCGCCCAACTCTGTCTGGTGCTCCATATGGACCATAGTTCACGCTCACCCATCCATCTGGCCATCTTGACTCCTCTAGCTAGCGGTGCATTCGGGTCTTCATGGCCTTCTCTGATGTGGTAAACGCACTGCTTCACAAGTAGCTGATAAAAATCTTGTCCTTGCTTTTGGTCCTCCACACTGCGCATCTTCGAAACAATCCATGAAGGTTTCAACGGCGTCGTCCACTGACTCATCATCTGGATCATCTCTCTTCATCTGTCTGAAGTTTCTGCATGAGGTACATCTCAACGCCAACTCATTCTCGAATCAGCTTCAGCCTCATTCAGGTTCTCACAGTCCCAGTCGCGCTCATAGCTTCCTTCTAGGCTTCCATAGTCCGTTGGTGCTTCTGATGGGACATTTTTTGTTTCATTCGACTCTTCATCACCATCATCTTCATCTTGTTGTCGTCCAAGATATGATGCCACTGTTTCGAACGCTTGTGGGTCTCTTGATCCTCGGGCTGGTTCTGTTTCGAACTCTTCTTCCTCCTCCTCCTCTTCTTCTTCTCGGCCTTCGTTCCAGTTTCTTGCACGCGGGGGCATGGTAGTCACAACGTGATTGACTGAACAGAAGTAGTAATTTTCATCACCGAGGGTTGTCATAGCGGGGACATGGGTGCTCATACATGAGAGCAAGATCAGAGTATTTCTTCTTGTAGTGTGGAATCTTGGGAGAGCAGCGTAGCCAGCTTAGCGCTCTAACATTGAGAAATGGATTTTCGCTCCTGACATGTGCCTTACATGTCTCGCGCTTCTTGTGTAGCTGATAGTCGTGTTTCCAGAGTCCAGAGTCCAGAGTCCAGGGTTTGGCTGCTGCCCGGGACGGTGATGGAATGTGCGTCGCTGTGTCCATAGCAGCTTTTGGTCGTGCGAAGAATCAGATGGATTTCCCAAAGCTTGCTCTGATGTCGTCTGGGGCGCTGCCTCCTTGGGGGGCTGGCGGTTTTCAAAGCCAAACAATGAAACGGAACCTTGGGTGTCTTCTTGTTTTCGAAAACAGCTTCTGTTCAAGTTCAAGCAGGTGTTCATAAGATTTCATTTAACCTGTTTTCGCTTTCCGTGGAAGGTTTTGGCCGCAGTTGCTTTGCCAGTGCGTGGTGCAGTAGTGTGGCGGTGCGTGACTGTGTGCATGTGCGTGTGCTGTGCGGCTGTGCGCGCGTGAATGTGTGGGCGCGTGCCACGTGCGTGCGTGTGTGCATTCGTGCCAGCGGTCAGGTGTGCGCGCAGACGTGCGTGCGTGCGTGTGTGTGTGTGTGTGATTTAAGTGTGTGTTTGGGCATGTATGCGTGCGTGTTTGTGTTGTCACACGTAGATCAGTAGATCGTATATAGGTTCTTGTTGTGTTTCAGTGGTTGCGCCGTCCGGTGCATCAGAAAGAAAGAACTCATCAACAACACGGACAACGCAACGCGATGCCCCACTTTGCCAAAACCACAAGCCAAAAGTAGCGTCAGCATCCAGCAGTTGTGCCTCCCTGCGCCTATGTTTCTTTTATTCTGTTTCGTGGGAACAACCGGGCAACCGACTGCAGGGACCTGCAGGGAGTTTGCGAACCTGTGTCCTGTCACATGCTTCCTCTACAACTGTGGGAGGTGGGCCTTGAAGTCACTTGGTGACTTGGTGTGCTAGCAGTCTGTGCTGAGTGGAGTGGTGATATTTGACGCACTGTCCATGTTCCCTGCGCGAGTGCAAGTGCAAGCCCCGCGGGTTTTCAGAAGAGCGTCGTGCCCTTAACTTCTTGTGTCTTATAAGCAATGGGCCCGCAATAAAATACAATGTTTGTTTGGGTTTCGCTGCCACTGACGCAACAGTTTTCTCACATCTTGCCGCATACTTAAAACAGGTCGGGCGTTTAACTAATTAGTTAATACGTTTGTTGCGCGAAACGAAAACGAAACTGCTTTCTTGTCGTGATTTCTCAGAGATTCTCAGCGAGCGGCAGGCTTTTGCGTGATTTTTTAAACGAAACGCTTTGTGACTTGGTGTTCTCACAGAGCACAGGTTTTTTTTGAACGACTTTTCTGTTGTGCGTGAAGCGAAAGTGACTGGGTACAGAGCGCTTCCGTGTCGAGTGCTGTTGCTCACCTTTTCTAGTGTTTCAGCCACTGCAGGGCAGAATTTCATTTCGAAGTCTTGCAGGCAATCTGTTGCAATAAGGATAGCCTTCTGATTTGGGGTATTGTGTTTTGTTCAACAAAACCAGGGAAGAGTCGAGTTATAGGATGCACCCTCAAAGAGCCTCAATGGCAAATATTTTTGTTTCGGGAATGCGTCGACTTCTGGCAGCCATGGCCATGGCAGAGGCCGTGTATTGCTTATGGCTTTGTGGTTCGTTCTCGAAAAGGACTCGGGGCTTCGCTGGGAAAACGGACAGCTTACGCGCAGCAGAAGAAAGAGTTCTGCGAGGCAAATTTGCCGACGCAGATGAACACCAGGGTGTCTTAGAAGGAACTCCGATCCGAAAACTTGTGCAGATGGACCAGTCTACCTCCAAATCGCGCCATGTGATTGGCCTTGCGTTTCTTCGAGTGTCTGGGATGTACTCATCCATTCTGGATGCGCTTACAGCAGAGCAAAGAACAGTGTTCCTGGGCTTGTCAGTTTTTTCATGGTAGTTTGATGTAAGTTGCAAGTCCGACAGTGTTTGTGTGTTGAGTGTGTGTTTGTGATTGTGTGTTTCGTTGAGTCCTGAGGCTGGCGCTTCGTTCATCTGAGCATGGTGTCATTGGCACTTGCTTCGGTGAGATTATACGCTTTGTCCGGTTGGTGGAGCCAGAGTTTGCAATCCATGAAGGTGGCTCTGAGAGGGCCACAACTGAGGCCTTCACCCTTACACCTCAATGTGTGGACAGGATGCTTCAGCAAGTGAACTCAGCTGGGACAGTGCAAGAAGATTTCGAGCAAGCTTTGTCTTTTTGTGCAAGGCTAGGGTTTGCTGTGCAGAACGCGCAGCCTGACTTGCCATCCAATTGTACAAAAACTTGTTTCCAGATTCCTGTGGGGATAGGACACTTGATCCACAAGGGGCTGTGGAGTACTGTAGCCTTTTCCCACACTGCAAGATGGGAGCCAGATTGTGATGCAGCTCCATTGCAGCGGAGAGTCCGTGCGCTAGCGTCCCAGATGCAGAATGCTGGAGATCAACCACAAATTTTTGTAGGCGCCAAGGAATTCCAACCAGCTAATGCCATGTATTCGAACTTAGCTGATGATCTGTGCGAGTGGGTAGAAGCCATCGTGTCGCAATCCGAGGATCCATCTCAAGCCAGTGATGCGCTAGAGCAATATGTCATTTGGCTTAACAGCATGAGAGAAGCAACAAGCAATCGCAGGTTCGCAGAGTATGCTTGGGAAAGCGTTTCTTGCAAGCTGGGGGGGGGGAAATACAATCCTGTTTTGCAGAGCGTCGGTCGCTACAGAGCTTGCTTTCTGCTGCAGTGTTTGCTTTTCAGTATGCACTTGAAATCTGCCAGCTCGGTCGCAGCTTCGTTGAGAAGAGCCTTTGCGCTGCTACCAGATGTTTGGAGCAAGACCTTGGAAGATCTGTTTTCGTGCATGACCACTCCGTCGGGTGCCACCATGTCCCGGGCACGGTTGTACTTAGATTGCTCTTTCATGCACATCATGAGGCATCGCCATGCAGATCTGGTCCGTCAAAAGTCTGTCATATTCGCGTTGGTTGACAGCTCGCCGCAGGGTAATCGCAATTGGATGATGACCGAATACTTTGGTGTCCAAGGTGAGAAGCTTCTGCATGCTGCAGACTTGGTTCGATGCAACGCTTCTTTTAAAGATATGGCAGATCTTTCCAGGTCTGACTTGGAAGCAAATCTGGATAACATGGATGAGGTTCAGGCTGTTTGCTTCCATCACACATGTCCTCCCACAGCACTGGGTCTCAGACATGCCACTCTCGCTCACAAAGTGCATGCAATCTTGCACTCTTTCCGCCTGGAAAGTAGCTCGTGGTCTAGTGCGCAGGGTCTCCTTGATTGCATTTTTGCCATCACGTCTGACCAGGGAACAGAAAGTGAAGTAAGCCTAGCCACAGTGCCGTTGCAATCGATGTTTCCATATTGGACCCAGCAGGGGCAGATTGAATTTGAAGTCGATGCAGGTGCCAATGTTGATATTCCAGAGCAAGGAGCAGAGAGGGACCCTGATCCTGATTCGTTGTCCTTTACCAAATCCTTGTATGTTGCCGGAACGTTTCATTTGATTGATGGCATCACAAAAGACCTTCTCAAGAAGTCTCTGTGTTGGAGTGAAGTGAAGCCTTTGCTGGACGCGGTGCTCCAATTCTTTCATGGCGGACACAACCGGCAGCTATTTGTTAGCAAGTGTTTTTCAGAAGGCAATCGTGGTTTCGAGTTTTTGTTTCGAGCCGGGCCAGCCAAGCTTGAAGGGGGTCGAGCGTGGGGTGTTCTTGAAAAAGGTGTTGATTGGGTTCTAGCCAGGCGCCATGTCCTCCGGCAAACTTGGAATGCTGCCGCTTTCGGGGCACAGCCTGATGAGGCTGAGCAAGGTCAGGGTGAGGGCCGTGATGGTGTGCAAGATACTTCAAAGCTTGTTAGCAAAGTGTCTGAGGCAGTAGGGTCTGACTTCTTTTGGGCTTATTTGCGCATGTTGCAGTGCATCACTTCCATTTTGCAAGAGATCTCGGCGTGGACCCAGAGCTGTCCGTGTCATTCGGTAGAAACTTTGGCAAGTTTGAAAGAGGTGAGCCAGGCCAGACAAGCTGGGGAATTTGTGAAATGCCCGATGCGTGGGAGACGGGCCCCAGAGGTTGCTGCTGGGGAGTTCGCTGAATTCATCAATACCTTGGTCCAATACAATGATTCTCGCTTTGTAATGCGAAGCGTGGCCGGTTTGGAAGGTGAGGCGAAAGACAAGATCACTCTTGATTGGTCGAACATGAAAGCTTACATTAAGACTGCTTGCTCTTTGAAACTTAGTGCGTGGCAGCATTTGCCTCTTAGCATGCTGGGCATCGGTCACACGGACCCTGCTACAGCCAGGTTGTCAGCTTGGAGGAGTTTGTCTGAGTTCAATGAGTTGTCAGAATCGGCGCAAGATGCAGTGCGCCCAGTGGTGAGAAGGCTTCTCAGTGGGGATGGTGAGCGACAAATGCTGGCTTTTCTTCGTGAGGAAGATTCATCTGTTTGGCCTGATTTGGATGTGTTCCGTGCCCAGTGCATGTTCGTGCCAATTCTTGAGCAGTCCATTGAAAGACGCCATGCTGTTTTGCACCAGCATATCAAATCTGCACCTCATCATTCCGCTCCTTTCGTTTCAGTGTCTGAGCGGAAACATGAGATTTTGAACTATGTCCAAGACAAAAGCATTGACACGATGGCTGAAATTTGCGAGTCGGTTCGTGCCCCGGCTTTGGTTGCAGAGAGTTTGGGGTTGCAAAAACATCCAGACCTAGCTGCTTGGTGGCGACCGGAAAGGGGTTCCCTGGAGATTTCAACATCTCACGCTGTAGTTGCTGCCTTGGTTTATCGGTGTGATTCATCAGCTCAATTTCTAGCCCTGCCCTCTGTGCAAAAGCCACCGCGCCATCCTCAGAATTTGCCAGTCTTGCTTGATGAGGCTGGTAATCAGCATGAGATCCAGGTTGTTGACGAAGCAGGTGCAGCTGCGGCGTCAAGTTCCGATGCTGTCGTGCCTGTGCAGCCAGGGGATTCGTTCCTAACAAAACTCATGGAACATCATGCTTTCCAGCATTTTTGCTCAGCTTCTACCGCAGCAGATGTGTATTCCATTGACCCGAGCCAAGCCTTGCCTGGTCATTCTTCGTCGCTTATGTTGCCAATGCAGCAAGTCTTGACCACAGGCTTGCCAGGTGCCAGGTTTCGTGTTCCAAAGTGTTTGCTTGATGGCGCAGCCACAGACCAGGCGTCAGTAGAGTTCACCTTTGAAGATGATTGCGGCGTGCCAACTCTTCCAGAGCAGCAGCCTAAACACATGGAAATTATTGAAGGTAAGAAGCACCCCCATGTTTTTTTCCGACTTTCGTCCGGGAACATTGCAGGGAAGAAACGCATGCGTTTGGATGCCGGCTTCGATGTGACATCAGATCATGTTGCTGTTGAGTGCTGCGCCATCAGCCATTTTGACCAGACCAACAGGCAAGTGCATCTACAGATGTCGTCTAAAGAACCTGATTTGTTTCAGCGTCCAGCCTCCATGTGTTCTTTCTACAAATGGGAAGTCGTGAAAACATGCTCTGGCTTGAGAGGCATAGAGCTGACCCCTGAAGCCAGCGCTGCACTTGACCTGCTCATGACATCAGCGGACAATGCAGAGGAAGAGGAGTGTCTTGTTTTGTCCAAAGCCACTGAAGAGTACAAAAGTTATGAGCCAGGGTTGGAGTTCTTGTGTGGTGCAGGCGTGGTGGAGCGCCATGAATTGATAGGTGACATTTGCAAGTGGACTCTGACCAATCATGGCGGTGACAAATTGATTCCTCTCATCATCGTGCAAAAGCCTAGGTGCATCACCAGAATGCATGTTGACAGTTCGAAGGACCCAGGGAAGATGACCACAATGGAATTGATACGGCGCCTGACAGACCAAGGTTTCGAGATGCAACTTTTGCCTTCCAAAAGCAAACGCATCCCGCCTGCTTTCGATCTTTCGACCAAAGCACCGAAAGTATGGTGGACGAAGGAGACTGAAACCTATTCAGTGTCTAGGTGGTATTTGCTGGCTTTGTTGAGCACAGAATCTGTGATTGCCCATGGTCACACTGAAGTTTTGCATTGCCAGAACAACGAATACTACCGAGATTTGTTGTCTCTCCCAGTTCGCAAAGGGAAACGCAAACATCAGGGTCAAAAGAGTTTGATGTTTCAAGCTGACACAGGGGCTGAACCACTTGCGGATGCATCGCCTTCTGCGCCTGCGCCTTTACCATTGCCTGCGCCAAGGCGTGAGCTTGTGGACAGGGAAGCGAAAGAACCTCAAGCCGACGCGCACCCTGCTGCAAAGAAGCCTGTTCGTAGGGGGCAGCATGATAAAACCTTTTTTTGGGGTCCTGCTCTACTCACCTTCTCAGAGCCCAATCGATGGCAGGCCACATGCCCCAGAACATGCTCGCATAGACACACCCTGGGGAACAAAACAAAATGCACGAGAACACGCACCTTCAAGAAACCAGAAGATGAGGCAGCCATCCTTCTTGAATTGAAGTTTTGGGTGAACCAGGCGCCCAAATTTTGCACCCGATTGTCCCATATGCAAGAGTGCCAGCCACCTGTCGGGCTCACTGAAGAGCTTGTAGATTCAGAGAAGTTGCCTTCGGATTATGAAACCGGTTCTGAACAAGAAAAACCAGCAAGCAGCAAAGCCAAGCCAGTGGTGTCCCAAGCAAAGGCTGGCGGCAAAAAACAAAAGCTTTCGAAATCACAAGCCAAAACCACGCCAGAGGCGAAAGGCCATCATGTGAAGTCAACAAACTCAAGCGACAGTGAAAGTTCAAGCAGTTCGAGTTCGGATTCCAATTCCAGCTCCTCTTCAAGCAGTTGAAGCGTTTGTCGTGCGCGCTTGGAAAGAAAAAGAGTTTGTTCAAGGACGTGCGACACAAGCACAGCGCGCAAAGTCCAGACTCTTGTTTCTTCTTTCACTGTTTGGTGTAGTTCTCAAGCTCAGCTGGGCGTGGGCTTGCCTTTGATCATTGATCTTGCTGAGGCTTGAAGGCGCCAGTTTTTGGGTGATGTTGTAGGCAAGATGTGTCTCTTGGATGAATGCGTTTAAAGTGCGCAAGTTTAGACATGTGCTTGGAGAGAGGTGTTGACTCAAAGAGATTGCGCAGTCGCTGTGGTCACCGTGAGGCTAGGACCTTAGGACTTACATTTGTGTTGGAACTTCGTTTCTGGAGCAGGTCGAAAGCTCAGCCAAACCCCAAATTCAAACTCAACCCACCAAGCGACTTTCTCCAAGAGCGGCCACAAAAGGCTCCGAAATTGGTACAGTAAAATAAATGACAAATGATTTGAAGTGAAGTGATCTCAGTGACCAAATTCAAACTTCAAACACATAGTTGCCTTGACCCAGGCCTGTACTTGGCGTTTTCTGGTCACGAGCATCGACCGGTGGAGGATCGGAGCCCGTTGCCAGTAGATTCCATTTTTGCCCCAAAGATCCACCAAAAAAATTGAAAATGAGCTCGAATCGGTTGGTTTTCCATGTTTTCTTCATATTCTTGCAGTTTTCCAATTAGATGCATCCTTGGGTGAACTTTGAATCTTTTTGCCCTTGCTTGAGCCATGCACTCCCCCTCTGTCCACTTTTTCCCACTCTTGCTTGATTCTCCTCGACTCCCCTCGACTCTCCTCGACTCCCCTCGACTCTCACGCTTATATATTCTATATTACCATGGCTACCCTGCTCGACTCCCCCTCGACTCTCCTCGACTCTCCTCGACCCTCACCCCTGTGCACAGGAGCCGGAAGACAGCTCTCCAGATCACCTGCTCACAAGCAAGGCCGATCCAGACGTTTTGACGTGTTGGAGTCAGGATTTGGACCATTTCACAGATTCTCATTGGAATTTCAAGGAAAATAGGTTCCCACCACTTTTGCTGGCAGATCCAGGTTTTGTCCGGTCTCACCGGATTGACCGAAATCAAACCAAGACAGGTTGGCGATTATGTAGTTCCTTTTATGTACATCTCCTATTCACATGTATTCTGAATAAAAACAATATAGATAAATATAGATGTAATTGAAAATAAATGTCAGATAGATAAACTTCAGATTCCATTTGGAGTAGAGAGTATATAGATGTGAACCAGTCAGTATGAACATTAAAAACGAGAGTTCTTATTGCTTATATTCACATTTATAACCATCAAGAATCGTAGACTATACATATCCAAATCTGTATGTATTTACATATCCAATTATACATACTTGAAATGGGCCTGGTGCACATACACACATATATGTACACACAAAGGTGCGGAGTGTTTAGAAATATCACAGGTAAACGCAAGTGCAATAAAAACTATATATATACACACATTCCATGAGATGTCAAAAGGCTTTATAGGAAACGCCCTCAAACATAAAGCTGGAGGGCGCTTCATCCTATAGGGCCTTTTGACCTTCGTTGGTTTATTGGTATTTACATGTATAGTATTTATATGTATGCACGCATGCGTCTATGTGTTTAGTCATTTAGTTAACAGCTATTCTAGAAATAAACACACATACACATTGAAACGGCGTGTCTTTTGAATGTTCTCCAGTCAATGGAGCTTGCGCAGGCCAATGGAACTTGACTTGTCGCCGACGGTGCCACAGAGCAGCAAGCGCCGTAGACGTGCGCGGGCTGGCAGCCTTGATGATCAGTGCGCCCAAGAGGCTCTTGCGCGTGGCCCTATGACAGCTGAAGAGCTGTATGATTGGCCCAGCCGCGCGTTCAACATAGTGGAAAAGTCGGGGCCAAAGGCTGCTACTGCTTTGGCCAATTCTTTGAAGGCAGGCGTTCAATTCATCACGTGGTACTCTGGGAAAGGTACTGGAGAATCTGTGATGACCTTCTGCGAGGATGCCATTGTTGAAGGACTTGGGATGGGCGTTCAAGACTTGAGGTCTTTTCAGAGTTGTTCCGCTTGCGATGTAGATCATGATTGCAGAGAAGTTTTGGGGCTACATCCAGACCGTTGCCGGCCGAAACACATTTTTGGTGACATTCTTCATCGTATCCCTTTGCAAGATCCTGACCTCAGCACGCTTCCAAATGAAGAGGTCCGAAAGTTTTTGGTGCAAAATGGAGCGAAGCTTTTCACTCCTGAGAGCACAAGCTTTTGTTACGTTCATGGCCAGGCCTGTGCTTTGTGGGATGGGCTTGACCATCCTGGCCAGAACACTCACCACGAGAGAACTGCTTTCATTGGAAGCATGGTGGGGTTCACCTGTGTGGATTGGAGCCCTCGGAGCATGACTGCAGCCCCAGGTTTGCAAGGTAAGCATGCTCCAGTTATGCATCATTGGCTTCAAGAAGTCCGGCAGTTGGAGCCTGACTTCCTCATTTACGAGCAGTCAGACAACTTCCCCCCAGAAATTGTAGACCAGGAGCTGGGTGACATTTACCGGCATGATCATGCTGTCATATCTCCGGATGATCTTGGATGGCCAGTGAGACGAAATCGCTTGTTTGGTGTGCTCACTCACCGCCGCAGCGTGATTTTCACAGGAGACATGGAGAGGTTTCTGCAGCTCTTCCGTTGCAGAGTCGAAGGCGACGGGGATTGGATGCTCCAGGCAAAGCAAGAGGAAGTGGACAGCTGGAAGGTCAACAAGGCAGCGTCCAGGGGCTACCCAAATGTACGCCCAGAGAAGATCTCTCTTGACATGCTCATCACACCCGCTTACCTCGACAAAATGACTGGCTACCGGAACTTGCGTGACTCACGCCAGGGGATGGCGGGAACTTTCATCGCTGATTTGGACCAAGCCCCAGGCTATGCATCTTGTGGCCCGTGTATTCCAGTCTTGCCGACCCACAATACTTTGTATTCATTTTCTGGCGAGCGCTTCTTCACTGCTGGGGAATGCTTCGCTGCGATGGGCGCCTCAGCAGCCTCAGGGTCATGGCTTGGGAGTTCACAAAAGGTGTTGGGGCTTCTTTGAACCTTTTTGGGTTTCAAATGGTCAACTCTTTGAGGTGGAGGTGCCTGTTGTCATCCCATCATGGTTCTCCCAATGTTTGCTTGTAGGGAAAACAGGGGGCATACAATACACAAAGCACAGGCTTTAAGATCCAAGCACGTCGTAAAGATGTTTGTGCCTCACTTGGGTCCCTGGGTGTGGTGTGGATCTCTTGTTTTTAAGTTATAGAGGTTCTTCCGCAACGCTTGGGCGACGTGAATCATGGCAGTTTTACACAAAGGAACACTGTGCCAAGGAGTCTTTTTGCTGGCAATGGGATTGGGAAGACGAATGTCAAAGATGCGTTTTGTTTTTGTTTCCACTGAAAGGGGTAGGTTGTTAGTTGTTAGCTGCCATTCCTTGTGTTCCTTTGCTCGCCCGAGTGGCCTACCCAGGTGAGAACATCTTCTTTGGAGGAAAGTATCGAAGCATCTTGCCAGATTTTGTGTGGAATCCATCAACGCACGCTGTTGATCGAGTTGCCAGGAAACTGGCTGGAAATTCATTTCACTTGGGTGTAGCAGGCCCGCTGCTGATGTACACCCTGGGGCACATGCATCCGATTCCCAAAAGCGTGCCACAGTCAATCTCTTTTAGATCCGATTTGGGCACCAGTCGTTCCAAGTCGACTATATTCGCTGACTCGCAAGAAGAGGATTCCCAGCCGCAGCCCACTTAAATGGCTCGTGCTGATCTGATGATTTCGTAAGTTTGGTAGATCAGGTTTCGGTTTTGACAGACGGCTGGACAGCGGCTGGACAGTTGCTTGAAGAAAAGTCTTGCTTCGTCATGCTGCACACATGTCATAGTCAAACAGCGTGAATGCAGCAATGACGTCAGGTTCAGGCACGATTGTTTTCTTTTTCAACGCAGGATTTTTTGGGGGAATACGTGCTCGGCTGGGAACATTTCAGTCCAAGTTTTCACTTGTGTTTTGCTCAACTGAGCTGCAGCTACCATGGTTGATTCAGCTCCGAAAGCTGAAGCTCTTGAAGCTCTTGAGGCCCCAACTCCGCCGGCTCCTACTCCGGCAGCTAATGAGGTGAAGAAAGAGGCAGATGCTGTGGCCACACCTGCTGCTCCAGCGGTTAGCCAGGAGGCCAAAATCTCACCTTCCAAAATGAAGCTTGAGATGGATGTGATGGATGATGGCGATGGTGGTGTCACAAAGCCTCTCAGCAAAGATGCTACTTCTGATACCCAGACTGCGGCTTCTTCCAAGAGTGGATGCGCCGAGCAGTTGTGTGCTTGTTGCGGGCAAGAGACCCGAGTGCCGAAGTGCATTTACGGGCCAGAGTGCAAGAAAGCGCTCAACAACATTGACAAGCAAGAAGCCACCGCTACC